TATTTGTTAAATTATTTTTCATCGAAAAGAATTGAGCGCGGGGGACTGGGTGGGCACACCGCCGCTAACAGACATGGGGCTTCGCCTGCGGTCCACGCCGGCTGCTCGCCACAGGTAGGTGCGAGCGACCCTTCCTCATGACCGGTGCGCCCGTTTGCAGCCTCATGGACGGCGACCTGGTGGCCGTGTTCCGCAGCGACCTGCAGCAACACCACGGCATGCGTCCGCGGCCGCGGCACCCGTCCAGCCTGGCCTGGAGCAGCTCCACGCCATGGCCGGCGCACGAGCAGCAGGGCCGCGCGGCGCGCGCCAGGGCGGGCGCCGGCACGCAGCCCGGCGGCGGCTGCGGGGAGCTGCACTGGGTCGAGACGGCGCAGGAGTACTGCCAGAGCTCCTCCCTGCACGGCCTGCGCTACGTGGGTGACACCGGCATCTCGCCAGTCGAGAGGTACCGAGCAGCCGGTCATATTATGAAAAATATGTTGACAGGGTGGTTCATAACGGTTTAACTTTAAATTCTAAATGTGACTACTGATTATTTTTGAGAGGATGCACCCGTCTCATTTTCGAAAAGGTAGTCAAATATAATCAATTTGGATAAATATCCACACACAGCACAGCAGGGTAATGATAAATCTTGCAGAAAAACTAAACTGACAGTATCGACTCTCAAACTTACGCACACTTGTCACAAAACCCACACGGCACACGGCCCTCTCACAACACTTGACGAATAAGTCCAAAAGCAATACTTGCCACACAAAAACACACGTCACAAGCTCTTCAAATTCTCATCCAGGATTCTCTGTCTCTCTCACTGCACACTGACTTAAGGCCACGCTCGCGCTCACGAACGAACTCTACAACTACTCACTCTCCCACACAAGTCTCCTTCTGCTCCTCTCCAGCTCAACTGCGCTCAACTCTCACCACCCTTTCCGGGCTGGGTACAATTTTACCGCCAACATTTCGGGTAGAAATACAATAATCCTACAGGGGGTCCGTGCGGCCCTCCGCGGGCCGCCTGCACGGCTGGAGCGCTGCGCTAAGCTGCGCCTGTTTGCCCCTCGCGTCAAAGACGGAGCCAAGACAACGGACTTTGGACGACCAAACGATATGAAATAATTAGTTGTATTGATAGGTTGGTATGTCGAATTTCGAAAATAGCTGGAAGCTGCGCTTTTCGACCGAAAGGCTTCGGGTGCAGGTCAGGTTTTACGATAGGGACCACAGCTGCAACCAACCAGGCTGCGCTTTGTTTACATAGCGGTGGGCCCGACGAGTGAACCCGCGCAACTACACTGTGAAAATGCCCAGAAAGATGTTGGTTATTTGATAAAATAAAATCACGCCGTGGTCCTTTTTTATAAAATATATGTCTTGTAGACCATAAAAAGTATATCCCCGTGGGGGTGGGGTGGGGTGACTATATTATAGAGTCTTTCAAATGACAAGCCTTGCGGACTCAATAAGAAATCCTCAAGAAAAAAAGAACACAGATAACAAAACAGTAATGACCGCATCCTCCGAACCTGACGTAAGTTGAGCATGGTCATGAGGGTTGCTGCCGCAGGTGCTTCTGGATCGTGTCTTTCGCACTGGCCGTCATCGTAGCGGCCTACTTCATCACCAACATCTACCAGCGCTGGGAGAACAGCCCCGTCATCAACTCGATGTCGCCGGTGGCCACGCCCATCTTCGACATCCCCTTCCCGGCCATCACCATCTGCAACATGAACCGCGCCCGCAGGACCATCGCCGAGGTCATCAAGAGCGGCCCGTAGGTCACCTTAAAACAAGCGCGTTCCGGGCTTGTCCGGCTCACCCAACTCATCCGTGCGCTTCTCCTGGACCCGCAGGGCCCGGAGCCCTTACAACGCGCTGCAGCGACGCCTCCTCAGCGACATCTGCGACGACAACGACTACAGCTCCACGACGAACACGAGCGTGGACGAGGTGGACCGCACGTCCGGCAACTGGAGCGTCGTCATGGGCTTCATGATCAATGTGAGTCCATGCCAATAGCGTTGGTGGATTTTTATTTCCTTACAAGGTGTTTGGTTTTCTAAAAAAATAATATTTGTCCAGGTGACGCAACCCTGTCACGAAATGCTGCTGACGTGCAAGTGGCGCAACCAGCCGGTGGACTGCGACAACGTGTTCAACGCGGTGCTCACCGACGAGGGCATCTGCTGCACGTTCAACCGCGTGCGCAGGGACCTCACCTTCCGCAACCCGTGAGTCGATCGGAGAGCCCTTGGGGAGCGGCGGGGCGGCGCGGGGCGGCGCGGGGCCCGACACCTCGTGGCGTGGGGTGGTGCCCCCGCGGCCACGGCCTGCCCCGTGGTGCTTCCCCTTGGGGACAGGCGGGGCGTCGGGCCCAGCCAGCCCCGTGTGGGCGCCCCCGCAACCACGCACGAAGGGGAAAAGTAAATACGAGCTGTCTCAGGTAAAATCGTTGCTGAGCGATTAGAAATTTACCTTTTCTGATACGTCAGCAAAAAATATCGCTATGAGAGCAATCGCTTCAGCTGCTTCCACAAATAGCTTAGCAGGCTAAGCCATTGACGTGGCACTAAAATTTTTGCTGATGTACCAAAGAAAAACAACTGCCAATAATTTAGCAACGATTTTAGCTGTGACAGCAAGTCTTTCTCTCCGTGCGGCCTTCCCCATCCCATCTCCCCCTCTGGCCTCGACAGGCGGGAGCTGAGCGACCTCAACATCACGTTCCCCTACCCGTCCGCGGACTGGACGCCCGAGACGGGCTACCCGGAGACGGACAACAAGGGCTCCGTGCTGGAGACGCCCTGGCGGCCGGTGGGCATCGGGACGCACCTGGGGCTCACCGTCAGCCTGGACAGCGAGATGCACGACTATTACTGCTCTTCCACCTTCAGTGCGGGCTTCAAGGCGAGTCGTCAGTGTATGCAAGGAACTGCATTTTTGTTTTCCATTACCACATAAAGCAAGCTACAGCAAACGGTTCTCTGCGCGACGCCTGGCCCGCAGGTGCTGCTGCACAACCCGGTCGAGACACCCAAGATAGCTGCATTTGGCTTCCTCGTGGAGCCCGGCACAGAGAACCGCGTGGCCATCTCCCCCGTCATCAGCCACACGGCGCCCTCGCTGCAGACCGTGTCGGTGGACAAGCGCCAGTGCCTGTTCCAGCACGAGCGCAACCTGCACTTCTACCGCACCTACACGCAGCGCAACTGCATCCTGGAGTGCGAGGCCAACTTCACCCTCAGTCACTGCAAGTGCGTCGCGTACTACATGCCGAGTAAGTGCGAGGGGCAGGCCCTGCCCGGCAGGGGGTGGTCGGGATGGGGAGAGCTGTATCGTAAGGCGCCACTAACGTTTTCGGTTCCCCGCAGAGGACAGATTAACTAGAATATGCGGCAAGAAAGATGAGCAGTGCGCAAATATAGCAAGGGGTGAGTACACAATATAAAAGCGCAAATTATGACTAAATCACTCTGAGCTCTGAGTTATAGATTAGATCAATTAATCAACAATGAAAACCACAAGAAAGGAACGATTGTCTGATTTCAGAGGCAATGGAACTCCGCCTGGCAAATTCAGCTGCTAATCTTACTCAATTAAATATAAGTGATGTGCCATCATGTCAATGCCTTCCTGGTTGCAGTGAGCTTTCTTACGTTTCAAGTTATTCAAGCAGTCATTTTGCTCCAACATACACACCAGAAAATGATGACACAAAATCTCCTAAAAATATTGAATATCTTCTGTAAGGAAAATATTGAGATTAGCAAAGGTATAAATCCTTAGCGAAAGTTAAATAATGTACTACTTGTTTCAAATTACAGGAAAAATTCAGCTGTAATTCACTTCTACTTCACAGAAACTCTTTTTGCCAGCCGATTCAAAGGTGAACTCTTTGGTTTCACAGAATTTCTTTGTAAGTCCTAGTTTAGATGCACTTTAAAACTTGTTGTTGAATTATGTAATAAATAATAATGTTTTGCCTTTTTGTTAACTTATACAGCTAATTCAGGTGGAATACTGGGTTTGTTTTTAGGATTTAGTTTTTTAAGTGTAGTAGAGGTTGCCTATTTCATCTCGTTGAGGATATACTGCTCATGGTCACGTGCAAAACATGCTGTTCGGTCAAAAATAACAAATCGGAAGAAACTAAAGCTAGAGGATGATGATAAGTCTGTGGCAGTAATAGATACTCTTCCATATCTTCAGTGAATTAATAGCTTAGGCTAATAAATATTGATTAAAAACCAACAACTGGAAATAAACTTGATATTGTACCATACAACTGGAAATGTAACACAAAGGCAGTATGTTCATGACAATACTTTTAAATTTAAAATGTGGCAACAATGTGCTAATTTGCTGGGTTGTATGAACAAACAAATATAAGTGACAGTTCTTAATTCAACTTCCTGCTGAAGAAAATGTCTCAACTGGCTTCAAAAAACAAGAAACTATTAATATTGTGTCAAGCCCAATCAAAAGATGCTTTGAGAATAAGAAAGGCAAGGAGAAAACAGGGAGGGTGATTCTCAATCAATCTCATTCAGAAAGTTATTGATAAACGCGAAGGGATAGCCGCAAAATCATAATAATAACAAACATAACCTGCACCGCTGATTAAAAGTTGAGCACTGAGTTCAAGAGTCGTCAAGCCATTTCTCTGAGTCCTCCAGCGATCAAATTGAATAAATGAAATACATGGAAAATGATGGATACTCTTACCTGACCCCAAGACTAATTTGCAGCAGGTAAATGAGGATTTGATTGTGTTGAAAATCCTGATGATGCTTCTGGTTACGCCGCCATGACACTTTAGTCCTTACAATCAAACACACGGCATACTTGACTATTTTTCTGATCAAACAATTTTTCCTATCGGTACCTGCTCCTGCTATATTTTTCATAATCGGTGCAGATTGTAGAGTTCAGTTGGGTCGTAGTCAAACATGGCGACCTTCTCGCGTTCTGTCTGTTCCCGTCATTTTCGAACAATCTTTACGGTTTGCAAAAATGAACAGCTAAACCCAGTATTTCGAAGGGTCAATTTGAACCCTTGTCGATCAATCTCCGGCCATGGCGCAGCTCCCAGGCCCGTCACTGCCCAAGGTAACTTGATAGTGTATGCCTTGGGTGGGATAGCCGCCGGCGTTGCTTACACAATTTGGGAAGCGAAATCCAAAGACTTGTCGCCAGTCTCGAATGATGGTATCATGAAACCAAAAATTATTGATGGACTTCCGCCCTACCCACCAGCACGCAAGGTGAGTCCTTAGGTTGAATCCTAGCTCTGCGTCTACTATGTTATGCAACCTAAGTTACAGTCTGTAGTCTGCTATTTGTAGCCATTAATCTTAAAGTCTTAAAGGACCCCGCTTTTGTTTGCCAATTGTGAACAAATTTGTGCTTTTTATATTTTTTCACCTCCCATAATTTTGAATTGATTTTGCAGATTTCCATCCCTACTGACAATAGCGGTCTTCATTTAGTACTGTACCAGTATCCTACCTGCCCTTTCTGCTGTAAAGTACGAGCATTTCTAGATTATTACGGTCTATCTTATGATGTAGTGGAGGTGGATCCAGTGCTAAGAACACAGACTAAGTGGTCAGACTATAAGAAAGTTCCAATCCTTTTGGCTGGTATTGGTGATGGAAAATATGTGGTAAGTCTCAATTTCAAGTCTGACCCATCGCCCATCATTTCAGATTTTGCTGTTATTGATGCAGCACGAGTTTGCTTAATGTAAATTGGAAGTTAAGTAATGCAATTTATACATTTCACAAATTTTGCGGGATTTGGGTGCCTCTATGAGGGACCCATCACTACCCATCATTTATGAGTAGACCCGTAAATGGTCACATGTTCATAATTTGTGAAAATGTATATATTGCATTACTATACTTCCAAAGTATTTTTAGCAAAACTCGGGCTGCATCTGAAGCAGCAAAATCTGAAGTGATGGGCGATGGGTTCCAGGTTTCATTGGAGGGCCACCTTTTAAAATACAATTTTATTAGACAACCTGATACGTGTGGTTGGACTTAACACAACTTTTGTAAATTTTTTCTCAGCAACTAAATGATAGTACAGTCATCATTTCTATTTTGAAATCCTTCTTGGCTGATCCTAAGCAAAATTTACTTGACATTGTGAACTGCTATCCGCCGTTATCATATCGTGAGAGTGATGGTTCTATCAAAATGGAGATTCAGAATCGTTACTTCCTTATGACTGGGGAAGATGGAAGGAAAGGAAGAACAAAGGAAGAAATTATGTATGTCAAACATTTTTTTTACAAAATCCTTCTCTCTGAAAAAAATTTCTGTGATGACCTCCCTTTAACTTGTTAGCAAAAATTTTTGCTCTTACTAATACTTGCTTTTTCTGTTGTTTTTTTTTTTTTTAAAGGGATGAAGTTAAGTGGAGGGAGTGGGCAGATAAAAAATTGGTGCACGTCCTGTCTCCTAATGTCTACAGAACAACTGAAGAAGCATTGCAATCGTTTGAATGGTTTTCAGAGGTAGATATTACAAACAACTTTAGTTTTTGTCTTTTGGAAGATAGTATTTGTAAAATGATTTCTTAAGGTTACCACTTTGCATCGGCATTATTGATCGCACTCCCCCTTCGGTCCAATCAATCAATCAACTCTGAATGTATTTTTATTCCAGGTTGGTGAATGGGACAAACTTTTCCCCACGTGGGAAAGAAATCTAATTGTTTATGCAGGTGCCTATGCTATGTGGCTTATTGGCAAGAGGCTCAAAAAGAGGTAAAGTATTCCTCAATATACTTAACTACATTGATTAATTATTTCTATTTTACTGATGACCATGTCAAATTCTTTAACTGCTTGGGTATATTTTTATTTTGTTGATCCTTAGGCACCTTTTGAAGGATGATGTGAGGCTTTCACTCTATGATGAACTAAACTTTTGGATAAAACAGCTGAAGAAAAGAAACACAAAGTTTTGTGGAGGGGACAAACCAAATCTTTCTGATCTCGCTGTCTTTGGAGTATTAAGTAGTATTGAAGGTTGTCAGGCTTTTAAAGATGCTTTAGAGAAGACAAATATTGGAAACTGGTATTACAGTATGAAAAAGCATGCAACTGAGCATGCTGGTAGTAACCCTATAGGAATCTAGTTGTCAGAACTCATAAATATTATTTAGGTATGTGAAATGTAATAGTAAGATGTCACCTGCAGTCTATGCTCATTAAATCTGCTGCTAAATGTTATCTTTGGTAAGCCTTTGACAATCTTTTTTCCTTATCTCCTTTTGAGATTAAAATGCCCCTGTTCTCACATGGGGACTCTATTCCCCTTTGATTTATTGACCTCAAACCACAAAAATTAAATTTTTTGATCTCTACACATGTTTGTAAACTACTGGTCTATTCTCATTTCATACTTTTTCTGAATCAACCATGTACCTGAGGTGTCGTTCAATATTAATTATAAAAAAATAACAATCATTCTACAAATAGAGTCCTTTTTTTCTAGAAGTTTATATTTATACTGATATAGGTGATTATCCTGTCAAAGGTTTAAAAGAAAAAACAAGGTGCTAATATTTTAAGGAACAAAAAAGTATTTATTAAATTACTATGAGGGTACAAGGTACATGTAAATCAACCCTTAATGAAATGAGGAACAAGCAAATTATTAAGTAAATTATTGACTTAACTAGAAAACACAAATGTGATTGATCAAATCACTTTCAATCAAGTAGGAAAGCCCACATGTAGGACAAAGGAAAGGCAAGGGATGAAGCTGTTTGTGCTGTATCAACTCAAATATGTTTTTGAAAGACAGTGAACACTGTATGCAAAAATGAAGGACAGACTCGTCATCATTTGAGGAAGTCATCCCACATCCTTGTCTGATAAGTTTACAAGCATTTTCAAGTTGTTTGGGGTGAGAGCCTTCTGCTTTGACACCTCTCAGCATGTTATTATTAACATTTACCCACACCTCATTACTTTCTTGTATTACTTGGAATTTTTGTCTAATGAGATCAGCAGAGCTCTTGTCCTTAGAAACTTCTTCCATCTGATCATTAGCAGGAGTAGGAGTAAGAGTACGGGCAGAGGCAGAGTCAGAAAATGAGCCTACGGAATCCAAACTTCCACGTCTTCTTGTCTTTCGCTGACATAAAGGCCCAACTTTATCCTTTCCAGAAGAATGCACCAACTCTTTATGTTTTTTCAAATCAGCAGCTCGATGAAAGGGATCACAGCAAAATTCACATAAAAACTTCACCTCTCGGAAACTGAGAGAGGATACCTTAATCTGAAATTTCGCCTTTAAACTGCTTCTCCTAGCTTTGGGTTGGTGAGTCAAGACATGTCTGTTATAAACAGCATTTGAGTAGAAGACCTTTTCACAGTCACCGCACTTCAAGGTAGACTGCTTTCTTTTTTTTTTTGAGGGTACAGTACGATTCTGAGCAGCTGCTGTAAGAGATTTTAACTTACTCTTTTTCACAGATACATTACATCGGTGAGCAGCAGCTGTATGTGCTTTTAATGTTTTGGCAGTGGCAAAACTTTTCCGGCATGTTGCACAGCACAAATTCAACTTTTTCTTGCTAAATCCTGCTTTATGAACTTTGTGTTTCACAGTTTTATGCATTAACATAGCCCTAAGTTTGTTGAATGTTTTCCCACAGGCTTCACACTGGAAAGTGTTTTCATTTTTTTTAATAGAATTTTTCTCTTCATTGATAATATTTGGGGAATGGAAGAATCTTTGGTGACTGAAGAGATCTTCTTTAGATCGAAATAATGATGAGCAAACAATACATTTGAAAATAAGCTCTCCAGTGTGTTGGCACATATGAAGACAATAATTAGAAAATTTCCTAAATTTAAAGTCACATTCACCACATTTAAATGGTTCCTGCTTAGAATGATGTCCCAAGTGCTCTAGAAATTCTGGATACGAAGGCAATATATCAGAACAAATTTCACAGCAGTAGCCATTAGAATAATTATGGAGTTTTGTATTGTGTGTCAAGAGCTCTGCATCAGTGATGAATACTAGATCACATGGATCACAACAAAATGCTTGCTTTCTGGTGTGACTGCTCTGATGATGACTGATGTTCGTAAGGAGGCTAAATTCCTGATTGCATACATCACATTTGTGAGGGCATTTGATTGTTTCAGTGTCATTGAGAACTTCTAACTTGACCTTTGAGCTGGAAGCATTGAAGGATAATCTCTTGATGTTGGTTTCTACTTTTTCTTGAACACTGTGTATGACATCAAGAACCTGTTCTTCAATTACACACATATTTTCCAAGATACTAGAGGAGTCACAAGACAATTTTCTCAAGACAGTTTCTGCTTCCTGAACCTTGAGTTGTAAATCTGAACATTCAATCATTAAGTTGTTGTTGAGGGACTTTGAGCTAGAAGTAATACCTTGCAGGCTTGAGCAGAGACCATCTTCAACACAAATTTCATGAGCCATAGTAATAGTTACATTTTTATCCTTCTCCTTAAAAGATTGTGGATGCAGAGGCTGTGAGGAGGAGACAGTCTGGTCATTGCAAGCAGGCATTGTAGCCCAGGCAGAGTCACAAGTAATTGTAGAGTCAATCCTTTCATTACTCAGTTCTATTTCTTCACTCTTCACTAAGGTTTCATTTGCTTCTATCTTGCACTTACTTTTTCCTTCATAGGCATTAAAGAAGGTAGTAAATATTGATTCACTATTTTTGCATTTCTGAATACTAATGGGAAAGTGTTCAGGAGGCATAGGAAGGTAGCATGTGGCTACCTCTGGACTGACAAAACTTGTATTTGGAAATGAAGGTGCACCAGCACATAAAATATTCTGAGATGAAATGTTGTTCAAAGGTTTACGTTCTTCTTTTAACTTGAACTTTGCACTGTCCCCAAAGAATACGGAATGATCAGGCTTACTTTCTTCACTGATTGGAGAGGATGATGATCCAGGCTGACTTAGTTCATCTAACTCTTGAATTAGTGATTCAAAAGATTCGTTGATCAAATCAGGGTTTGAACAAACAATATCTTGCATGTCCTATGAATGTGAGTTGATATTAGAAAGTTTCCATATGCCCTTTTGAAATAAAATAATAAAGTAAAAATTTCAGTTTTTTACCTGATAAGAGTATGCCTCGAGAAGAACACCATTTGGCAGCCTAGGTTCAAAAAGTTTTGCCATTTCAGCATCATTGCTACAGATAAGAGAAAAGTAGCATGTAATAAATAGCATTCCGTAGAGACTGGTTTTAAATGTATCAATGGTAACAGGAACTCACAGGTTGAGTAAATCTGCTGGCAAAACTGGTCTGTTTTCCTCAGGAGGAACAAATGAATTTTCTTGTGCTCTCAGAGACAGATCTTGATGCTGAGATTCCATGGTGGTATCTAAAATATATGAGAATTAATAAAAACATGTTCAATAACTACCCTGTGAGGTGAAGTGGTTCCCATCTAGGTACCCAATAATTCACTCCTAACGGGGTCTTTTGCTGTGCCTACCTAAAAATAATCAAAAAGAAACAAACCAGACTTCATTTTTTTTGTTAAAAACTTACCAAGTAAAATAGCATATGATTCATGCACATCATATGCACTGCGCAATGTTGAATTCACTTTAGATTGTAACCGAGAGGTTGACAGTTTCCACCTGCACAATCGGCAAAATTTAGAACAACATTCTAGATAAATAATCGGCAGGTCGAATGTGAATTCATCTACACAAACGGAAAAACAAACTTTAGAATCACGACGTCGTAGACTATATAACCTTACACAGACAACCCGAAGAAATCTAACACACGGCGCAGCGAGCGGGAGATGTTCCAACTTGTTCAAACGAAAAAAATCAAAACCTTTACTTGGTTTGGCAGTTGTGCCAACTTACACTTGATAACTTACCTGTGACCCTGCAAAAGAGATGCCCAGCGGGAGGGGTTGGCACGTCTGGTCACGAGTCGAGTGTCCACCACCGCTCTCCCCCTCCCCCCTCCCTCCTCCCCTTTTCACTCCAACCCTCAACAACCATAACCCTCGTCACATTACCGGGAGCCGAGAGTTGTATTTTTAAACTCTTGGTTGGGTTGAGTTACGGGCAGTCCTGCGTCTAGACGAGTGCAGTTATATCGTGGGCTACCCCTTTCTGAGATATTCATAGTCTGCCAACACAATCGGTCTGATATTTGTAGTCGAGCAAGACTACTCCTGCACGAGAGAGAAGAGGTTAGGACGCGTAGATTGTGAGCACCAAACAAAGTAAGTACTACGATATTCCCGGTATTCCAAGCCAGGCGTTTAAATGCTCACCTTAGACGTGATATTTATAGCTGGGCTTCTCCTTCTGTTCCTTTGTTTCCCATTTTTTGGGTGGGGAGAAGGGGGGAGGGGGTCTTTGTTTGGAACACTTGTTTGAAGTTCATTGTACCTTACTACTACATTTTCATTTAGTTATTATGACGGGAAAGAACAGTTTGAAACACTGCGATGGTGTTGTAGCGTAGCGCGGACGACGATAAACATTACTTGAAATGCGTCGCCAATTAATGCTTATCTTCCCCCTGCGTTACGCATTTTTTTGCGCATCAGTTTAGGCAACAGCTACGAATTGCGTCAAAATTACATTTTTATTTTCGGTGCATTCATTGTGCCCAATGTGCCTTTATGAAGTTTGGCGCAACTGATGCTCCCGTCTGACCTGACTATGTCGCCCGTTGGGTAGGCAGCCAGGCATACTCCAGTGCCGGATGGGCGGGCGCGCTGCAGGCGCTTCCAGCAGCCTCAGCCCCGGTTTCTGTTCCAGCTGAGCCCAGCATTCACTGGTGTTGTATTTCGCCATGGAGATGGAGTGCGACATCTGCACCGAGGAGTTTGACACCGGCGAGCGACTGCCAAAACTGATCCAACCGTGCACGCACACGGTGTGCCTGCGGTGCCTGCGGCATCTGCGCGACAGGAAATGCCCGATGTGCCGACAGGTAAGGGACCTCCACCACGCCTCTGCAGTCTTACCCAACTGTACTCTGCTATTACTTCAACTTTTGACTCATCCATTCCCTACAGGATTTCAAATGCAAGCCGGAGCGATTCCCCTGCAACTGGTCGGTGTTGGAGTTGCTCGGAGGCGTGCGGCAGGACCTCGAGCAGGACTTGGACTCGGACACTGACTCATCCAACTCGGCGGAGAGCAGTGATTCTAGCTGGACTACACTGGGGAGCGACAGTGAGGACAGTTATTGGGGATCGGGCAATACTTCTAGCGCAGAAAGCAGCTGGGCCAGTTTTTCTGAAAACGATAGTGATTCAAGTTTGGGAGCGGTTGATAATTCAAGCTCGGAAGCAGACAGTGAGTCGAGCTCGGAAGCAGACAGTGAGTCGAGCTCGGAAGGGAGTAGCGATCGCAGCTCAGAAGTGGCAAGTGGTCCAAACTCGGAGGCGACCAATAATTGGAGCTCTGAAACAGACAGTGACAGCGGTTCGGGAGCGGCTAATACTTCCAGCTTGGAACCGCCGAGTGATATCCTCTTCCCAATGAAGTCCAGCTCGGAAGACAGTTTGGAGTTGGACGGTGATGGCAGTCTCGAGGGAGGCGTAAGTGATCCCAGCACTTAATGATTCCAGCCTGGGCGCCAAGTGACCTCGAAATGGACAGTGATTCCAACTTGGAATCAGCAAGTGATGGCAGCTGAGAGGTGGACATCGATTCAGGTTGTGCATCTATGACAGCAAAGACTGATCTCTTCAGACCTCGGATAGCATGTTTTTTATTTACCTCCGAATTAAATTAAGAAAGTGACCTCAGCGTGTCACCAACTCCGTGTACTTTAAAACTAAGATCGCACCAATGCAATAACACCTCGGAAACAAGCAGCGCCTCTGCGGATTTGGGTACCATTGAGTACCGCCCACCGCCCGTGTTCGCCGAGGAAAGACAACGTAAGTTTGCATACAGCGGCCCACAGACCCCGGATTATTTTGTATTTATACTGTGCCTACCACCGCTGAACACAACGCCTCATGGCCCCGAGCGAGTAGGCAACCCGGCCTCACGCGTGCATGTGGTTCAGGGGTCTGTGAGCTACCAGACCTTGTGTAAAGTCGCACAATGCATCACTATCACGGGGAGGGCCTGGCGTGGTGTGGATGAGAGCTGTGGGGAGTGCGCTAGTGGTAGAGACACATTACAGTACCTCACGCATCGAGGTCCTCCTGGGTGACCGTCTCTACCCCCTGCGCTATCAGTTGGCAAATACCCCAGTCCCCTCGTTTCGCCTGTCTTGAGAAAGTTCTGTGAATGAACAAGTGTCCGAACCAACGCAGAAAGGTGTGCATTTTTTTTTACTGTTTAAATTCTTACAGATTGAAGATTCAAATCCAGTTAGTGTAAATGCCATGTCATACCAGCAGTCGCCAAAACGTGGGCGCGTTGTAGCTCGAACACCGGTCTGTTTCAATTTACGGTTTTAGTGAGGCCGTGGTTCGTAACTGCATATCTATTGCATCTGCTAACTTAACTGCTGGAAACTGGAACTCCAATCGATCCCAAGTCGTCTACTCCAACTCGAGGCCCGGGTCAACTTGGGCCCGTCTCGTCCCGGCAGGTGCGAAGCTGCGGCTGGAACGTGGATGCGCGGAGCGGCCGCCCGAAATTTATGACCGACTTTGTGTCACTTCTAATTGGAGGGCCTTTGGGGGCACGCCAGTGGCACGCCAGCGGCACGCCAGTGGCTCGGTGGTGGCTTCCGATCCGATCGACAGGTTTCCAAACAAGATGGACCGACCGCGGCCCGCTCCACCGCAGGCACGGGGGAAGGAGAGGAGGAAAATATTCAGGCACCGACATCGTTTGTATCCAAAAGCGAAACGTAAATCAGCCAGCGCGAGACAGGTGAAGAGCGGGACGGGGTCGGGCGGGCGATAGCAGGGCGCTGCGCAGCGCTGTCGTAGACCTGTCCCGCTGTGTCCACCTTTTACTCCCCCGAAGCCTACCACTCTCTAGCTCTCTTAAGTTATTGCTGTTGTGGAAAAGTTACTCTTTTTAGCACCTTGTCTATGAGCATATGACACGCTCTGTTACTACGTAAAACAAACAGAGTTACAACTTCTGTCCGAGAAATGGTTTTCTGTGTACAGTAGACCGTTTGATGCGAGCCAATTCATCGCCCCCTTCCCCTTCCAATAGCCCCCTCCCCTTCCCCGTTTTCTATTACGCATAGCAAGGGCCTTGACGTTTATAAAGCGCTCCCTCGGGTGGGGCCAAAAAAGGACGGCGCGCGATACGCCTCTATACTGTACTTCGCGAAAAGAGGGAGATAGATGAGAGAGAGGGAGAGATGAGGGAGAGGGGGAAACGAGAGGTGTCGAACTCACTCGCGCGTGCCCAGACAGCCACCCCTGAGGATGAGAGTCGGGGCAATGCCAGCCCGGCTGCTGGCCCCACCAATCGCGCTCTACAGCCTCGAACAAACGGAATGACACTGTCGCTCCATGCAGAGCTCGCGAGCCAAACGCGCAGCCGAAACACGTTATTCACCATCCGATCCACACTTTGCTTATCGGCAGCAGCGAACGCCGCGAAGCTCGGCGACAAAAATGCTGTAAATAACGCCGGGGCTGTCACGCCTCCGAGGATATCAATTTCCTGCCGTGAGCCGAGCATGCCGATAGGCGGGGCCCGGAGGGTGTCGCGTCGCGGACTAGAGGAGAGTCGCGCTCCGGGGCGCGGGGCATCGCCCGGGTCGGCGGAGGAAAGGGGGGGGGGGGCGCTGCGGGGTATCGCCGCGACATCTCGCATTAGTCCACCCCGCGGCGGCGTGCAGACCGGAAGCGGAAGTGCGTGAAAGTCGCACACTTGTAGGTGTGTGAACGCCCGTTCGTACAATAGCAGGTGTGTAAATGCCCATCCATACCCGTCACGGCGTAAAGGCACGAATTTCCTTTTGAAATTCACCAACTTGTGCCTCCATGTGTAAGAAAGGCGATCACACTCCTATAAGAGTAAGAGTTTCCGGTTCAGAGCCCGTGGGTTTAATCGTAAAAGAAGAGATGGAAGGCGGCAAAGTGGCAGCAATGAGAATAAAGCGGTGCCGATGTGCGACGGGGGCTCCGTCAGTCTTGTTGACTCTGAAGTCGGCCTCGGTCAGCGTCGCAGAGTGAGGGAACCGTCAACGCCGTAAACGGGAGTACAGTAGGTAGGTATCTGGACGGAGCGCCCTGGCCCTTACGCCACATAGGGGCAGCGCTGCGGGCCGCTGGGCTGGGCGCGCAGAGCTTGCCCAGAGCAGGCCTTGCAGGACGTCTCAATCGCTAATAAGATCGGCCGTCCTGTAGGACCGCCTGTAGGGACGGCCGTAGGGACAAGGGCGCCGTTAAACGTTGGCAATTAAAGGCGTGTGTGTGTGGTGGGTGCGGCGGGGCCGGGGCGGCG